CCCCCTGCTGACTTAGGCCCACTCCCTGGGGGATTGGGCCCAAGCTGGCAGTCAGACATCCCTCTGGCAGCCCAGCAGCCTTCGGGTAATGCCCACTTGCCAGCGGGGAGCAGGCCTAAGCTGCAGTCGGACATCCTTAGTGCTGCTGAGGAGGCGAGAGAGGCTCCCACCACCACCACTGTACTGGCAGCCTTCAGCCTGGCTTGTGACTGAGCAGAGCTCTCCCTGTGGGGAGTGCAGTGACCACCAGGGGGTAGCTTCTGCATTGAGCGTGTGCCCCCGGTGGTCAGTGTGTGTCATAGTGACCAGTCATTTCCAGTTGTTCTGCTGTTAGGGTCAATTTGTATATGACCCTTTTATTATATAGGATAGAGGCCTGGTGCATGGGTGGCGGCTGGCTGGTTTTCCCTGAATGGTGTCCTGGATCAGGGTGGGGTCCCACTGGGATGCCTGGCCAGCCTGGAGGAGGGCTGAGGGCTGTTTTCAGGATGGCCAAGGCACCCAGTGTGGACCCTCACACCATGAGGGTGTGGCCAGCCTGGGTGAGGGGATGATGGCTGTTTGCGGGCTGGCCACAGCCCCTTCAAGTTTGGGGTTCTTGCTGGGGTGCCTGTCCAGTCTGGGTGAGGGGCTGATGGCTGTTTGTAGGATGGCCACAGCCCCTTCAGGTTTGGGGTTCCTGCTGGGGTGCCTGGCCAGCCTGGATGAGGAGCTGAGGGCTGTTTGCAGGCTGGTCAAGCCCTGAAGCAGGGACTCTACCCCTTGAGGGTGTGGCCAGCCTATGTGAGGGGCTTATGGCTCTTTACAGGTTGGCCACGGCCCCCAGCCACCCAAGCTCCCAGTGGAGGCTGGCTGGAAGCAGGTATCTGGGATTTATTTATCTTCTATAATTGAAACTTTATTGCATTTAGCGGAGGCCACAGCCGGCCATGGCAGGCAAAAAGCTTGTCTTCCTCCATCACCGGGCAACCAAGCCTCCTGCTTGCTCCAGCTCTGTATCTGCCAGTCACCATCTTGATTGGGTTAATTTGCATGTAATCGCTCTGATTGGTTGCTGGTCATGGCTTGGGGCATAGCAAATGTACAGTCAATTTGCATGTTTCTCTTTTATTACATTAGATGGCTTTTCAATGGACTTCAAAGCTGCACACACACAAGAATAGGATTTTTGATAACAATATTATTTTTTAACATATTTTATTGATTTTTTTAGAGAGAGGAAGGGATAGGGATAAAGAGTTAGAAACGTCGATGAGAGAGAAACATCAATCAGCTGCCTCCTGCATGTCTCCTACTGGGGATGTGCCCACAACCAAGGTATATGCCCTTGACCAGAATCAAACCTGGGACCTTTCACTCCTCAGGCCAACGCTCTATCCATTGAGCCAAGCCAGTTAGGACAACAATATTAATTTTTTCAGGTTATTTTTTTGTTAAACTTAAGTTAATAACACTAAGGATGGACAATGAAATTATTGCTTTTTTAAGTGTCTTGGACCAATTCTCTATATGGTCCATCCACCCCAAATTATACAATTAAATTTGTTTGCCATTTCATTTTGGTCTTAGTATTTTGAAACATATTTTTTTGTATAATGATGTAAGCTACCTACATGGTCTCAAGATCAAATGTATGAAATATTAGTGTAACCAAGAAATCCAGTTTCCAGCTTCTGTTCTTGTTCCCTCCACCCTGTTCTCCCATCCACATGTAAGTAAATTTTTGTTGGTTTATTTCCCAGAGTATCATGCTATTGCCTTTTCATATATATGAAAAATATATGTCCTATATTTTACTAGGTGTACCAGTTAAAAATGCAGATTTTGTAATCACAGAAAACATGATAATTTCAAGAGAAACACCTAATGCGCTTTATTCAAAGTAATGTCCATCTCTAGCTACACATTTCCCCATCTTTCAGGTAATTTGTGGATACCGCCTTAATAGAACTTTTCTTGTTTTGAGGCAAACAATTCAGAGACCAATTTTCCACTTCTTCGTAAGTTTTGAAGTGCTGCACAGAAAGTGCATGTGCCATCGATCGGAACAAGTGGTAATCTGAAGGAGGAAGGTCTGGTGAATATGACAGGGGGGGGAAT